ATTCACTCAGTTCACAATCACTGAGATGAAATAAAGTGTATGATTTGCTGAATGTAAAGCTGATGATTTTGTTTGTAAATGTTCACTCAATTCACAATAAAAAGTTACGAAGAAGAAAATTGGTTTAAAATACACCCAATGCCGATAGCGGTCTCAAGAACGTAACAAAGAAAACTATTCCCAAATAAAATTAAAAATGGAAGGTATCTGGGTTAGGATTTACTACACATTTTTGGAGGCCACTATTCAATCTACAACACTGGGTCTGTATCACATGTTTACTGCATTGATCTTTCTCTAAGCACTGTTTGTGAATGACCTTGTTCTAATCACGCAGTGGGACCAGACAGGAAGAAGTCTGTAGACAACAGAAATGATGGAGACTAAATCAGATTGGTAAAGGAACAGAGGATGACAAGTGGTTAGATTTAGGATGTTTTTCAGAAGTAGGTGGGTTTTTTTGTTGAAGTAATACAGTTCTGAAAGTTCACGTTTTACATCCTACTTTAGAGTATGACATCCAGGGTGTTAGAAGCTCACAAGAAATCTTCCAACAGACAATCTATTCATCTCTACTCATGTGGAACAAAAAAAGAAGGAACCAAAGACTCAGAAGAAAGTCCCCAGTGCAGACAGTCTCCAGGAACCCCAGTTTCATCTACCCTGAGACTAGAAGGGCTAGATTGTACCCAGCAACTACTGCTGATCATTCCGATGAGCACTGCAGTGAATGAAGACTGGTAGAAGGGAAGACAAATGTACACTAGGACCTCACATTCTTCAAGAGTCCAGGCTTACAGGACCAGTTGAGATTACAAGACTCCCGGAGTCTCTTATTCTGGGAGACTCTTGGAACTCTAAAAGAAAACTAATTCAAAGACGTCCTGAGTTCACCCTTTAGCTAAAAATAAAAAGATTGGCTCAAAAGATAACCTATCACCTATAGGTTCGGTGCTCCTTTGGGGGGAACCCACAAACATCTTTATGAGACTCAACAATTACATTAAAACAAAGATGAGAAGGTAAGAGGCCAGGAAGCCAAATGATCAGTAATAGAACCACCGGGACAGAAAGGAATGTTCACACATTATAAAGAATGTAACCTACGTCACTCAACAACTGACAAGAATTATTGAAAGGGAACCTAAACTGTTGTGTAAAACTTCACTGAAAATAGTTTTCAAAATTAGGAATGGAACACATGTGTGGGGCTGGACTATAAAAGGAGCTCTGGTAGCGTAGTGGTTACGAATTCAGCTGCGAACCTTAAGGTCAGCAGTTTGAAACTACCAGCCGATCCATGGGAGAAAGATGAGGCTTTCTACTCCCGTAAAGATTTACAGCCTTGGAAACCCTATTCAGGGTCGCTATGGGTCGGAACCAACTTGACGACACTTAAAAAGATGGCTGTGAACAAGGAGCAGAAGGTACCCAGGTCTTTGATAAACCTGTTTTATTTGTTTTTAAAACACTCCTGGTGTGGCACTGTAGGATCAGCACTGGACTGAGAACCACAAAGTCGGCAGTTCAAACCCACCAGTTGCTCTACTATGAGTTGGAACTGGCTCAACAGCACATAACAACAACACTTTCCCAAAGAAAGAGGAGCCTTGGTATGTATTGGTTAGGGTTCAACTGCTAACCAAAAGATTGGCAATTCAAGCCCACCAATCCTTGGAGAAAGATGTGGCAGTCAGCTCCCATAGAGGTTTACAGCTGTGGGAGCCCCATGGAGAGGTTCTGCTGTCTTAGAGGATCACTAGGAGCCAGACTCAGGCCTATGTCAGTAGGTTTCACTTTTAATTTCCCTCTAGACTTCACGTGAGTGGAAAATTAAGCCATTGGTAATGAAACCACTCTTGGAATAGAGGAGTATTCCATTGCATATAGCTGAAAATAATCCAGAGTAACATCTTTCACATTTTTCACTGAGGCAGCTGGTGATTCTTTAGCATATTGCTAAAAATTTCTTTAAAGGTAATAATTTAAAAAGCTTCCTTGGGCCAAGAGCCAAATAAAAGTTAATCACAAGACAATTTATGAGAAACAACTTCACACAATTTAGACAAGTTTTTCATAATATGAGTTAGCAACACTCATCTAATCAAACCAACTTGGAGTCCTGGCGTGACACTGTAGGATAAGTGCTGGGCTCCAAGGGCATTTGAATCTTAGGGTTGGTGGTTCAAATTCACCAGTCGCTCCTTAGAAACCCTATACAGAGTCGTTTTGAGTTTTAACTGTCTGGATAGGGTTTCCAAGGAGCAGTTGGTGGGTTAATATTTAATGGTTAAATATTTGGCTGCTAACCAAAAGTTGGTGGGTTCAAAGCCACCAGCTGCTCTTCAGGATAAAGACCTAGAAATCTGTTCCAGAAGAATTACAGCCAAGAAAACCCTTTAGTGACGGTCTCCTGTGTCCTATAGGGTCACTAGTAGTTGGAATTGACTCAATGGCACAACAACATACTTTCAGTGACCAATCCCCACCCCACCCCCCAAAAAAAACCCCAACAAAATAGGGCAAGATACCTTCAACACATTAAAGTGTTCCTAAGTATGAGGGGGCTTCAAAATTCATTGTTGTTGTTGTCGTCAGGTGCCATTGAGTCAGAACCGACTCATAGCGACCCAATGCATAGCAGAATGAAACAATGTCCGATCCCGGGCCAACCTCACTACCGCTGCCACACTTGATGCCATCAATGTTGCCACCTGGCTGATCCATCTCATTCGTTGGGGGTCTTCCTCTTTTTCTCTGACCCACTATCCTACCACCCAGCATGACATCCTTCTCCAGTGACTGTTCTCTCCGGACAACGTGTCCAAAGTAGGAGAGATGAAGCTTAGCCATCTTGGCCTCCAAGGAGCACTCTGGTTTTACGTCTTCCAAAACAGATCTATTGGTTCTTTCGGCAGTCCACGGCACTTTCAAAGTTCATTAAAAGACCCAATTAAACTCTATTTGTGTATAATGATCACAGAAGGCTTCAAAAAGTTCAATGTTTTGTGTCAATTTCACTGGGCCAGGATTCTCAGTAGGTTAGCAGCTAAGTTACAGTAATCATTTCCATGTTAAGATCCAAAATGATGTAATCATAGCCCTATGATGTGGTCCAACCTGATCTGAGGAAATTCTATGTGTTGCAAATCTTCCTGTCTATGATTTTAATAAAGTCAGATGTCATCTACAGGATCCGATTGTATTTTGAGTCAATTGTCTTTTGAGATAGTAAAAAACAAAATAAGCAGATCTCAGGAGGGACTGACTACCACCAAGAAAGAGCAGCTGGGAGCAGAGTTGGTCTTTGGGATCCAGGCTCCCTGCAGAGCTCCTAGATCCAGGGGAAGATTGATGCCAAGATACATGGAAACATTCAAGGAATGATGGCCCTACAGAAGCTGTCAGGAGGCAAAGGCCTTCCCCTAGAACCAGCATTCTGAATTTGGACTTCTAGCCTCCTAAATCATGACAGACTAACATTTCTGTTTGTTGAAGGGATCCTCTTGTGGTCTTTGTAATAGCAACACTGAAGAACTAAGATACCTAACCCTCTCATCTTTCAAAAGTGTGTAAGCTCAATTCCCTTGCCAGTCCACCACTTAGGTGCTCCCTGTTCTTGAATTGTTGTTGTTGTTGTTAGGTGCCATTGAGTCGGTACCAAATTACAGCAACCTTATATGCACAATAGAATGAAACACTGCCTGATCCTGGGCCAACCTCACTACTGTTGCCAACCTTGAGCTCATCGATGCTGCTACATGGCCAATCCATCTCATTGGGGGTGGGGGGTGGGGTCTTCCTCTTTTTCTCTGATCCTTCACCTTACCAAACATGATATCCTTCTTCAGCGACTGGTCCCTCCTGACAGTATGTTTGAAGTATGAGAGACAAAGTTTGGCCATCTTGGCCTCCAAGGAACACTCTGGCAGCACTTCTTCCAGAACGGATCTATTGGTGCTTTTGGCAGCCCATGGCTCCTTCAATACTCTCCACCAACACCATTAACTCAAAAGCATCAGTTCTGTACGGTCTTCCTTATTCGCTGTCTAGCTTTTGCATGCATATGAGGTTATTGAAAATACCATGGCTTGGGTCAGGCCCACCTTAGTCCTCAAGCTGACATCTTTGCTCTTCAACACTTTAAAAAGGTCTTGTGCAGCAGATTTGCCTAATGCAATACATCGTTTGATTTCTTGACTGCTGTTTCAATCAAGAAGAATGAAGTCCTTGACAACTTCAATCTTTTCTCCGTTAAGAATGTTGTTTATTGGTCCAGTGGTGAGGATTTTTGTTTTCTTGACATTGAGATGCAATTCATACCGAAGGCTGTGTTCCTTGATCTTCATCAGTAAATGTTTCAAGTCCTCTTCACTTTCAGCAAGCAAGGTTGTATCATCTGCATATCGCAGGTTGTTAACAGTCTTCCTCCTATCCTGATGCCACATTTTTTCTTCCTAGAACTCAGCTTCTCAGATGATTTGCTCAGCATACAGGTTGAAATTATGGTGAAAGTATGTTCAATCAAATCGATTCTGACTCATAATCTTACAAGACAAAGTCAAACTGTCCCATAAAGTCCCTAAGGCTTTAATCTTTTATGGAAGCAAACTGCTACATCTTTCTGTGGCAGTACAACTGGTGGGTTTAAACCACCAACCAACCTGTCAGACTATAGTCAAGCACCACCATGCTTCGTATGAACCATGAACTCTATTGACTTCGTTCACTAAATTTTTTATTGACACATAAACCAATTATTTTTAAGTTTTCTGAAAATATTATCAGGAACATTAGGAAGGATTGTTCCCCCTCTAGAGTGTTTTGTTTTTGGTACACTCACCTTTTAAATTTCCACACCCAGTGTTATAAACGCTCCTGTGTACTACTCTGATCTGTGGTGAAGGCTATCATATATTGTTCTCCCCAGGAGGAGGAAAAGAGGAAAACTGCGGTCCCCGGGGAAAACCTTTAAGAGGGAGGCCGATTTTGACACTTACTTGAGTGTTTCCACGTGACAGGTAGGATGCATCAGTGCTTTACCAAGAATCTTTTCCGAAGTTTCATCCAGTACACTGTTACAGATTTCCAGCTCTCGAAGGTTCTCCTTGGTGTAGAGCAGTGAGCAGAATTCTTTCCAAAGGACGAGGCTCCTCTGTTTACTGCGGAAGAAGAAAAAAAAAATGCGTTTCTGCAGTAGAATTTACATTTGACTCTGATAATTTTAAGATCAATAACTGTATTAAAGTGTCCTGTTACCTGAATCAGACGTAACACCAGACAAACAAAAAATTCCAAATCACTCGCTGTTGAATCGATTCCAACTCACCGCTATCCCGTAAGTGCCGTGGAGGTAGAACTGTTCCATAGAGTGCTCAAGGGTGTGACCTTTTGAAAGCAAACCACCTGGTCTTTCTACCAAGGTGCCTCTGGGTAGGTCTGACCCACCAACCTTTTGATTAGTAGCTGAGCACCTACCTGTTTGCACCACCTAGGAATTCCAAGAATTAATACTAGGTTGAGGAAACGCAGTTAGGTAGGAAACCACCACCGAGGTCCTTGAAAGTGGTAGGCGATTCTTTAGTCAGGCAAGGGAAAACTGAATGAGTAGGATTCCTTTAACGTGAGAAGGTTAACTATTAGATTAGTATTTATTGATGATACTATTGCATGTTATATGCTATAACATCTAAGTTATTCATAAGAATTATTTAAATTAGTCCATACCCCAAGTCTGAGGAAATGAGGTTAAATCAGTGGTTTTCGACTGGGGGCAGTTTTGGCCTCCAAGGAATATTTGGGTATGTAGCAAGACTTATTGCCATCATAACCATTAGGAGGGTGAGGCGCTAGAGGGTGCAGTCCAGGGCTCTGACCTCAGATGTCAACTATGCTGAGGTTTCAATCCCAAACCCTAGACTTAACTGAAATAGATTTTTAACATTTCTGGTCCAAGTATAGATTAGATCAGAAGCCAAATTGTCTTCCTCTTCAGTTTTAGTTTTATAAAGAACGGGCCGTGAAATTATGGGCAGATTTTAGGAATATAGGGAAGAACAGAATTTTGAAAGAGACTCACCAAGATGTCAGACTCACATCGGGTTCCTTGATTGCTAAGATACCTTGAACACACAATCTAAGTTTCTCTAGTGCATGGCAGCGTTTCAGACAGTAAGATGCAACGACCATATCTTTGTTTTCTTGGATTAAAACAGTAGCTTCTACAAAAAAGTCCATGATCTTGTTCGCAAATTCCTCCTCCTGGTTCTCAAAGAGACAATAAAACAGAGGCACGTGGTGTTCCATTGCTGTTGGATTGGCACCCAAGTTCTCCACTCTTTCTAGGAAGTGCTGCCGGTGTATCTCCGATAACAGGAGGCAGCCAAAGGATGTCTCGAGAATTTCTCTCGTCTTCTCATTAAGAAGACCAAAAATGTGAGTCATGATTGGAGTGAGATCATTGTATTCTTCCCTCTTTCCTAAATTCTGCTGCTGGATTGAGGGAAGCAGGAATGCGTTCAAGGGCATCATATACGCAATGGCGGCACAAAACTCCTGGAAACGCAGGTGGATAAACATGCAGCGGTCTTGATGTTCAGTGCTCTGCATGAGAATCCTCGTGGTCTGCAACACAGACGCATCCGCCTCGTTGAGCCCGACACTTAGGAGGTCTTGCCCACTGAAGTGAAACACATCTTGTAAGAGCCCTTCAAAAGCCAGCCAACACAGACGCTGCAGTAGGATCAGGCGAGGCCGAACACAGGCTACGCCAGCCTCTGACGTCAACGCGTTGGCGAGAAAATGGGCAAATACATCAGTGGTTGTTTGGAATGGAAATGTGACATCTTCCTCATCCTCGTCCATTTGCTGTTTCAGGTTCATACAAGTGAGCCAGCACAAGATGGGCACACTGCACAGATCCATTAATATTTCATTCTCCTGGACAAACTTGAAGGCTGTTTCAACCCTCTTCTCATCTTTAAAGAACAAGGTGAAATACCTCTTTCTTACTTCATCACCGAAATTCAGGACGAAGGTGAAATCTGTTTCCTTGGCTATCGTGTCTGAGGGGGAGCGAGGCTCAATCCTGGTGGTGATGAGAAATGAGGAATCTGGGGCCAATGTTCTCTTCAGCAAACTCAGCAGGAGTACGTTCACTGGTACCTTCTTCCTGCTGTCATTACACAAAGCGGATTCAGGTATGTTTAAGTTGAACTTGACGTTGTCTAAGTCCTCCAGGATGAACAGGAGTTTCTGGGGATCAGACAGGATGTCTGCTACTGGGGCTTGCTCTTCGGACCAGTCCTTGGAGAGCAGATCAACAAGGCTAGCGTATGTCATGTGGTTTATATGTTGAGATGGTAGATAAATGACATAGGAGAATAAATCTTGCCACAGCTTTCCATTTCCCCATAACAACATCACCCTTTTTACATACATGCTTTTCCCAGACGCTTGTGCTCCCACCAGGTACATATTAAAGTCTTTGGCAGAAAACTCGCTCTTAGGATCAAAGGTTATTTGAAACAGCTGGAGAACCCCTGGTATGAACTGTTCATACAATTCATCATGAATGTTTGGATAAACGCCATGTTTCCATCGGACTAGGGCTTTCTTGTTCATGAACCTTTTGTGTGCCTCTTGGTTATCTAGACCAGTGAGTGCAAGGCAGAACAAACAATATAAGTGTTCAAATTGTCTAAACAATTTTTCTAGCATTTCTACTTCCTTTCAGTCATCAGAAAGACAAGGATACAAGGGAATTCACTACCCCATTGTTTAAAAACAAGTTTGCATGAATCTAACGCATGGGGTTATGAGTCAGAATCAACGTAATAACTAGAACAATCCTTAGCCTGTCTACTTTAATAATAGCCAATTATCAAGAAACTATAAAATAGAAATAGACTAAGAAGTCAATTCAGACCATCACCCCCACCCCATACTTACTTCCAGGATTGAATACCGACTCTTAAGTTAGAGAGAGAATTCCTTTATTGACACAACTGAACCTCCTTCAAACTGCCCCCTGGCCCTACCCACCCTCCTAATGACCCCACTCACAGGTCCGTCTCTCAGTGATCTTCTTACAGAGGTCTTGGCGATTGATCTTTTCAAAGATGCTGAACATCATATTCCAGGTGATATGGGCCTCATAATTGGTTGTCAGTTTATCATGCACATCTTCCCGTTGGAGATTCCTTAGCTGATGCCATGGGATCTCTTCCAGTCCAAACTCCAAAGGTGCCTTCACAAGATGCTCCTTAACACTCTGAAATTCCTTATTACGGAGTTCTCCCAGGTACCACAGCAATTCTGTGTCGGTAGTATCTGAGGATGCCATTTTGCCTCACACTTTACAGGGAAAGGATCTGGAAGCAGAAACGTGGAATCTGGAAAATAAATCATAAAATATCCACCTAGTATTTTGACTTCAAGCCATCCATCAGGTTTGAACTCCTGAGCCCAAGGGCACTAACCACCTAGCCCCTTGGGAGCTAGGACTGAGAGTTAAGTGACTAGTTGATCTGAAGTGTGGGCAGGCGTGCTTGAACTCCCAAACTGGCAGCTAGTACCCACTTGACCTAAGCTTGGATAGCTAGTTGACCAGAACTCAAACCAAGGAAGATAAAAGATGTTTGCTACTGAGAACAAGTTCAAATTGTTACAATTTAGCTAGACTTTTGCTATGAATGCTGCGACTCAAAATTCCAACCGGAATGAAGGATTCTTCATATCAAAGATCAACCCTGTCTCCTCAGCGTATTGGGTTGGTGTTGTTAAGTCCCTTTGAGTTGGTTCTGACTTACAGAGACCCTTTAAAGGGTTTCTGAGGAGCAGCTGGTGATTTTGAACCACCGACCTTGCAGTTCAAACCTACCTTGAGGTCAAATGCTTATCTTATGGTGAGGGACAAGAAATTTAGACACTGGCTATCAAAAATGGGGGTGGGGGCTACAAAGGCATGAAGTGGCTGGTTTACAAGTTTAATGAGTGGGCTTAGTAGAAGAACGAGGCAGGTAAGGCAGAATCCCCACTGAATAGTTTCCTGCTTTCCCAGATGATCTAGTGAAAGGGGCCAGGGGACAAAAGTGATAGGATTTTAAGACTCAGTTGTGAATAATTGTTAGGATTAAGTCTGATTCTTATACAACTAACTGTTTAAGATGTGTAACTAAAAGGAGGGCGTAGATATTCATTTCAGGAACAGATGATCCCAGGAGGATCAAGAAGGAAGATCATGAGTGAAGTGTGAGATTCTACCTAGCAAAGCAGCGACAGCAGAGACGGTGGCTGTGTGCCTGAGGACAGGAGCCTGGCTGGCAGGATGTGCCCTTTGGACATTTAAATGAATACAGCTTTGTTGTTTTGTAAGTGTTAAAAAAAAAAAAAAAAAAAAAATCCAGAGGGAAAAAAGAGAAATGAAGGACCGATTCCTCTTACAAATATAGATGAACCTTAAATACCTGTGGAAACAGTTCACACAAAAGGTTATTATTTGGTATGATTCAATTTTATGCAATGTCCAAAACAGGAAATCAAGACAAAGCATAGAAACGGTTGTCAGAGGCTGGAAGAAGTGGGGAGTGACTGTTAATAGGTCTGGGGTTTCCTTTTGAAAGGATGTTGTTGTTGTTTTTGTTGTTAAGTGCCGTCGAGTCGGTTGCGACCCTGTACAGGGTTTCCCAGGGTGTAAATTCTTACAGGAGTAGAAAGCCTCATCTTTCTCCTGCGGAGCGGCTGGTAGTTTCGAACCACTGACCTTAAGGTTTGCAGCCCGATTCGTAACCACTACGCTACCAGAGCTGATGTTCTAAATGTATTTGTGTTGATGTATGTACAGATCTGTATGCATACTAAACCCACTGAATTGTACATTTATATAGGTGAACTTTATGGCATATGAATTATATTTCAATAAAGAAGTCACAAAAACACTCAAGGCACAAGGGTATTCACTATCGCTTGTTTGGAAAGTTTGTATAAATCGAACACAACACTGAATCACGACTAGACTTGTCCAGTGACACCCAGTCCTTCTTAGTGACACAAGATGGTGCTGTTGCTGGTGGTGAGCTGTAAAGTTAGTTCCAACTCACAGCAGCCTTGTAGGTCTTGTCAGGGGCAGAAAGCCGCATTTTTCTCCTGTGGAGTGGCTGGTAGATTACAACTGACCTTTCGGTTAGTAGTTCAATGCATAACCCACTATGCTACCTGGGATCCTTTGACACAGCATAAAACTCATTAAGTTGTTTACATGGATAAGCTGGAAGATGTTTATGATCTACTACTGAGGAAAAAGGAGCTCTGGTAGCATAGTGGTTACGAATCGGGCTGCCAACCTCAAGGTCAGCAGTTCAAAACTACCAGTGGTTCTGCAGGTGAAAGATGAGGCGTTCTGGTCCCATAAAGATTCACAGCCTCAGAAACTCTGTGCAGGGTCACTATGAGTTGGAACCGACTCCACAGTACTTAACAACAACAACAACTGAGGGGGAAAAAATAAGGTGAATGGGAACAATGTCCCCACATACACAGGGAATCACCTGTTTAAGTATTTCAGGGTGTGCAGAATGGCGTTAACATAGCAGGTCTGACTTCTCTCCTCACCAACGTTGGCATTTGGAGGACTTGCATTTCAGAGGATTCCACCATCTCTAAGTTATTCCAGTGGCTCACCAAGCCTCATCTATACAAACCATGTGGTTTATGCTCAACACCTGCTTTCTTTATGGAGCCTGAACATTTGGTCCGTACTAGGCAGAGGGTATCTATGTGCCTCTCCCAACCCCAAGGACCCCCGACCCTGGTAGACAACATCTCACCCACAATGCCCACAGGATGCTGCTGCGTTAGTGAAGCAGGTGCTGGAGAGAGCTCTTGGTGGCTTACACCTGCTTCTTTAGGCTTCTCCTCCTGGGACAATTACCTTTGCCGACTTTCTATCACATCCTTTTGCCGTAATAAGTCATAGCTGTGAGACCCCCACCCCTTGAAGATGACTTCACTTACAGGCCATCTTGGTGACCCCGTAACTCACAAACCAGTTGCAAATGAGTCGCCTCCAACCCATGGGGGCCCCGTGTGTGTCAGAGTGGAGCTGTGCCCTAAGGTTTCCAATGGCAGGTGTTTCAGAAGTACATCACCAGCTCTTTCTTTCCAGGTGCCTCAGGGTGGGCTCGAGCCTCCAATCTTTCAGTGAGCAGCCAAGCACAAACTGTTTGCACTACCCAACGACTCCTCCTGGTACACAGCCTTCTACCTAGAAATGACGTCACAACCTGGTTTGTGTCCCATGGGAATTCTTGCGTTACCTTCTCTTTGTTCTTTGCAGCAGGCGGCATCATGGCCATTCCATACTAAATCCGTCACCACTGACTTGATCCCAGCTCACAGCAACCCTACAGAATGCTTCCAAGGCTGAAAGCGCAGTGGAAGCACACACATCACCAAACTTTGAACCACCAAACGTTCCGTTAGTAGCTAAGCACCTAACTTTCATTACTATTTTAAAACTAGCTCTAAGGCCCAATTGTCCTTAGTTTATAATCTCCACCATGGTTGGGTCATGCCTTCCTCTTCTCCCACCATTTTGGTCTCTAGGCCCATTGATTGACAGCGTATTTGCCAATTGGCAAGTTCTCTTCAGGTTCATACTGTTAACTGTCTTAATGATCTCAATGATACTGCTCTACCTTTGCCTGAAAGTAATTTCAGTTAGTGAAAAGTTACATGACTGTTAAACCTTAACCTCCCCCCCCTCCCCAAATTCCTATGAAGTCTCCTTAAAAACAATAGTTTAGCTTGCCTAATAAAGGATGTTTGTCTTGAGCATTGTGGAATCAAATTGGCAGCCACAACTGAAAAGATTAAGCAGGAAACTTAGGGGAGCTGTGAGTTTGTGTTAATGAGGGAAGAAGAGCTCAGACAAGGAGGGTAAGAATGCTTTCAGAACTCAAAATATATCATCCATACCATGGAGTTGGGCATAGGAAAACTCACTGTCATGTTTCGTGCAGATCTTCAAAAAGTAACTTGGGAAAAAATTGTGCACATCTGAATATACTGAGGAAAATTGGAAAAGATTTAGGGTGTGTCTAGGACACAAAGTAGTCATCTCCTTAATTAAAATAGTCGTATACCTCTGTTAATGACAAACACTTGTTCATTAACTAGCACCGCCCCCCTACACATACACACACACACACACACACACACACACACACACACGGCACCTGGTGTCTGTATGGTGCATGTAAGTGCCCAGTGCAACCTGACCAAGCTGCTGATCAAAGTAGCATCACAAATCCAAAATGAAATGAAGGAAATAGACAAGTCTC